CTGCTTTAATGAAAACCTCCTTAAGGCTTCAAGTACTGCAGGCTTGGGGATGCTAATAAGGAGCATGGAAAATGCATTTCCATGTTGCTAGTTCTTGTGAGCTACATAATAAACATTTGTGTTAAAAAAGGTAGAAATTAATATCTTTAATTATGTAGCAGCACATCGTCTCTTCTATTTAAAAAATCCCCTATGGACTTGTAAGTTACTATCTATATGTACATTTTACAAGTTTCTTAATGTGCATCCATCTCCGAGTCATAAACGGTTTTGAAGGAGAAAAAGTTTTCTGAAAAGTTGAAGCTAACATTCTTCCTCTGCTTGGCAACTCTGTCCATGCATCACATACTAGATGATTCTATTTTATCGTCACTTCTGTGTAAACCAGTGAGACAAAATGTTTTAAGTTCAGTATTTGAAATGAAATTATTTGAATTCATGGATGTTGATCTTTCCCTTTTTCTTCTAGTTCTGAATCTGCTCTTTAAAATGATCCCTTCTTTGCACTCCACAAGTGAATATTTTATAGACAGGCACAGTTTGAAGACTTCTAAAAACACATCGCCCAGGCAGTAGAGCTGTTTCAGGGATTACTTTGGGTAATTTATCAAAGGAAGCCTGATAAATTTTGAGTGGTGAATATGAGGCCTTACAGGGGAGAAGGCATAAAGGACACATTCCATCAGTGTGCAAGATAAATTCTATTTGTAGTTAATGCAGCTTGTTTACATTGAAATATTAGGAACACAACAGGAGGCGATTGGGGGCTCCTAGTTCCCTTTCTGAAATTTCATTTTCAAAGGACTAACAGTTAAATGACTTCCTAACAACGAGCCTGAGTGTCCACTACCGCCCACCCACCTCTGAAAGTTGGTGAGGGTGGCCCCCAGGGGGGAATGACAACTCTTTGATAAATTAAAGTGATTTCAGTGATTTCAGCAGAAACCTCCTTAGCTCTAAACTATTTGGGGATGTGAGATGAAGCTCTTGCCTGAGCCCCTTGCCTCTCAAGATCTTCCAGAGTGATCTGAGAGGTGGAAGGGGAGGGGCAACAGCACCTTCAACACACCTGCGCACGGGTGAGGATGCACGGGTGCATCCTCAGCCACCGGAGCCGAGTCCAAGGGCTGGGGAAAACAAGGCTGCATTCGGTTGAGCACGGACTTAGGTTTTCTTCTTCTGGCTGCAGAGAACACAAAAATGCAAATTTCTTTTAAAGTGTCCTTAAGAATTTTGTTGTGTCCCGGGGAACTCTGTCAGCGGGCAAGGGGTGGTGCACCGGAGCGAAGTTCTTGGCATGAGTTAATCACAGCGGTAATAGCTGTGGGCTGGCTCTGTCTCCCAGGTCTCTGAGTTTTAGAGCGGTCATTCTGATCCCCTTTGGGATTAATAAATTAAGTTCGAGATGACTATTTTTTAAAAGACAGGTTTCCACACTGTTGGTCCTGGGCACATTGAGACTGGCATTGTCCGGAAGAAGTCGCAGAAATAGGAAGTCTAAGGCAGTTGGTAGCAATGGGACCAGCTCACTCCTGTCTTTCTTGCAAATTTTCGATTGTAATCTAGGGCAGCCAGGTCCCAGCATTAAATGCAAAATAGGAAAACAGGACACGGCCGAGTCACAGGCCTGATCATATTAATGCCCTAGGTCAGAGAGAGAGAATAATGAATAGGCGCGGAGCTCAGTTCGTGGAAGGGAACTTAATTAACCTTGGGAGAGTGAAAGAAAGTCAAGAGATCATGTTTAGGACTGTGGTTTAAGATGCTTCTATTTATGTGAATGTGAGTGGGGGTGGAGAGGGAGGGAGTAGTCGGCTTCGTGCATTATACTAATAATTATTTTTAAGCCTGAAAAAAACTGAACTTTGTGCTACTCGGGGCCATCCAACTACCCCTACAATCCCGTGGAGAACTGCACCGTGGGAGCTCCCGAGCTCTACCCGGAGGTTTTGCGGCCCGGCCTCGGCCTGCGTGGGGCATCAGCCCGGGTAGGGAGAAGAGGCCGCGGCGTCCCGGAGCCCCGGCCTGACCTCGGGAGAAACTGCGAGGGAACCGAGCGGGGTGGGGGCGGGGGCGTTCCCTGCCACTGAGCCGCTGAGCCGCTGAGCTCCTAGGCAGGCCCTGGCTGCGATCCGGGGGAGGAAGACCGGGGCGAGAAGCAGGAGGCCGGGCCATTGTCCAGGGAGGGCGCATTTTTGTCCGGATGCTGCGGTTGCTATAGCGAGGAGAGAAATCCAAACAGAAGGGCTCAGTTCTCCTTTCTCGGGCCTGGGAGCAGCGCTCCCTCCTCTTAGCCAAAATAAAAGTGCCGCCTGGGGCCTGGCACCCTTTCCCCGGAGAGCTGACTGCGGGCCCGTGGAGATGGGCACGGAGGATCCGGGCACCAGCAAGGGGAGGGGGCGTCCGGCACCGCAGGGACCCGCCAAGCTGGTGACTCCGGAGCGGCCCGAACGCACCAGCCACCACTGACTGTCTCTTAGCCCTCCCTCATCTCCCGCTCCTGGCCCACTCTTTTCCTGAGGTATTTCATTTAGGAAAAATCTTACAGCCTTCCCAGACTCGTGAGACTTCCCGCGTGGGTGAAACCCTCTTTTCGCTGGGGCTGTAGCAGCGTTTCGGCGTTGGAAGAACCGTCGGAGGAGAGGGACTTGAGCGCCGCACCGAAGCTGTACCGGGAACGAGCGACAATACCAGCGGCAAACGGCCTGCTTGTTATGAGTTTAAAAATCACCCAAAGGGAACTTTTACTAGAAAGGAGTGTACATGCAGATTTCTCACATTTAAGAGACTCTTATTTTGCAATAGTCTTTTTTTTTTTTTTTTAATGTCTTGCTATTCAACTTTGAAAACACTGTGTGAAGGGAAGGTCACAATAAAGGCTCTTCACGGCTTAAAATTTCTCCAACAGTATAGCTCAGGATTGCTAGGGGGAAAGAGCAATGTTTAGTTAATCGTGAGCAGTTATCTTTAGAAAATTTTGAGTTGGTATTTTTAAGGGAAGAGAATATTAATTTACTCTAGATAAGGTAAAAGGTTAGGATTTTATTTGTGGGGACAAGTTATCTACACCAGAAGGGGGCCTGATAGTAGGGACTTTTCAAAATTAATTATCTTACGCTCCTGCGATTTTTAAGTTTTCTCTCTCTCTCCTTATGCTCTCTCTTTCTTTGTCTCTTCTCTCTCTGCGAGTCTCTTGCCTAGAAGATGCCTGACAAATTAGAGAAAACTTTTATTTGAAGCCATTTGAAAGGCATCGTCAAAAGGATCTCTCTCCCTCCTCCATTTAAAATATATCCTTTCCTTCCTAGGGACAAGTCTCTTAAAAAAAGTTCACACAACTTTGTAAGAAGTTCCTTAACTCACAGTAATATTCACGTTTAAAAAATGCTTGAAAGAAATCATGTTAATGAAGAGAACATTTGCAGTAATTTGGTGATAATTATCAGAATTACCACATATTCGCAGAGGCTTGAACAATACGTGTTCAGAGAAAAGCAAAACACATTATTTTAATAGTCTGATATGCAAACTATGGACCGTTCAATTACGTGGCTTAATAATGCATACATGATGTGATCTTGTTATTGGGATGGGAAGGTCTGTGGTGAGTCACTCTTAAGACTAAGTGTTCTCTCACATCCAGTAAAATCCATTGCCATGGATCGTGGGCCCCTGCCAAACTGCATTTAAGAGAATAAAAATTAATGACTGAGAATTTGAGCGTTAAATTAACATTAATTATATGACCTCCATGCTGGAAAGATTAAATTTCTTACACCCTAATTAGATAACGTCTCCTCACACATCAAACAATTTCCATTTTTCATTTCCAGGTTTCAGGAGTACAAGGCAAGGTAGGGAGAGGCCGTAGTTGAGGGTTTTCCTTTTCTGAAGTCTGAGTTTGGGGGTGTCCGACCACTGCCTCTTCTGCTTTCTTTTCCTTTCTCCTTGGGCTTCACAGGGAGAGCCCTCAGGTTGGAGATCACAGTACAGAGAGTAAGCTTGTTCTCCACTTCTTACTGACAATGGTCGTTGGAGAACAGGGAGCTTGGTGGGCGTCCCCGAGTAGACCTGGAGTATGGTGGTGGTGGTGGTGGGGCCCTTGCAGCTGTCAGGGGGAAAAGGTTGGGCCATTGGTCAGTGTCTTAGGCCAGGAAAACCAGGTGGTAAGATTCCTGCAGAGTCGCGGAAGGGAGGAAATTCCAGTCAAAATGCATCACGGTTGCATGTAGAATAACAACGTCTAAGCTAGAAGTGCAAAGCTGCCAAGTGAGCCTGAATGTTGTGTTTGGGAAAAAAACAAGGTTCTTAGGTGGCGGCACAACCAAAGGCCCAGAGGACCTCACTCATTTCCTTCGTGCATGAGTCTGTGAGAGGTTTGTTTGCCATCTCCCCAGCAGTGCCCTGGCGTTTAGAGATTTCACGCCATGCTGGCCACAGGCGCCCACGCCAGGATGGCCAGTACGGCCTGTCTGACCCTGTCTGGGGCCAACAAGCTGCGGGCGTTAGCCACAAAGTGGGGAGCGGGCCCGAGTGTGCGGAGATCTCCCGTATTTGAAAACCTGTTGCTGTGAAGGGGGGGGCAGGGCAAGGGCAGGATCAGGGCTAACAGCAGAGCGGTACCCCCACCCCCACTAGGACAGATGGTCGGTGGCGGCGCATCCGCTCTCTCTGTTCCTAAGACGCGGCTCGGGGGTCCCAGGGCTCCGAAGAAAGCTGCCCTGTGCATTTGGTTTGGAAACAATGCACACGGACTTAAATTCTTGGGATTAGGATTCGGGGTTTCCTGTTGGATATTCCGTGCGGCCCCAGACCTCTCACGTTTCCCTCCCCCCCACCCTTCGTCTTGGCCGCTTCTTCCCCCGGGATAGTCCTGAACGGCAGGACGTGGAGCACAGCTGCCCGGAGTACCGGGCGGGACGAGCCCAGCAAGATGACACCCTCGCGGCGGCGGGCTCTCGGTCGCCCGGAATAGAGTTTTCACGTGTCACCGTCCCCATTCAGCCCCTTGCAGGGCAGCGTGCGTGAGCGCCGGGCGCCGCGGCCGTGAACAGCGCGTTACGGGGCAGGGGAGTTGGCGGAGGCGGGTGCCGCCGCGAGCCGCCGGGTGGGGGTGGGGGTGTCGCGGCGGAGGGTGGCGGTCCTTCCTCGCCCGCTGCCCGGCCGGCCCTGCAGCCGCAGCTCCGCGGCGCGGGCGGGTGAGCGCGGCCCCTGCGCGCAGCCCCGCGCGCGCCCCGGCTGGCGGAGACTCGGCGCACCCCCAGCCGCGGGAGAAATCCAGGCTCAGGACACCCCTTCTCCCGGCGCGAGCCCCTCCGCCCCAACTCCGCGCCCCCCGCCACCCCCCGGGCCCCGCGGTCCCCCCTCACCACCCCCCGGGTCCCGCGGTCCCCTCCCACCACCCCCGGGCCCCGCGGTCTCCCCTCACCACCCCCGGGCCCCGCGGTACCCCCTCCCGCCAGGCTCGGGGGGCGGGGCGCGGCGCTGGGCCGAGGCCGGGGAGGGCCGGGCTTTGGGAAAGTTTGGCAGGTCGGAGAGCCGGCGGGCGCGCTCCCGGCCCCCCGCCGCTCTCCCTCCCGTCCGTTCACACCCGGGGTTCCGAAGGGAGGGCGTCGGGATGGGGGTAACAGAGGTGCGGAGAGAATGGAGAGCAGGTGGTCTGTCCCGAGAGTTACAGAAACTCCCTTTTGGCAGAGAAACGTCTCCCGGGCAGGTGCGCAGAATTAGAACGAGGCAGCCGCACCTCGCGGGAATTAGTTCTCGCGGCGAGAACTTCTCGGCCCGCTCCCCAAGCCGCCCGCTCCCCAAGCCCCCCTCTCCCCGCGCCCCAGCGCTCGCCTTTTGAAGTGAGTTGCTCCTTTACGCAGGCTTCACCCCCACCCCAGCCCCCAGCGTGCCTTTGCTAGAAATGGATACTTCTTTTAGAAATTGGAAAATCAATACTAGTTTAGCCTCTTCTGTGAGCTGATGCACTGTCTAACCTTACAGGGAGGGAAACCGCCGAAGGCAGGCTCCAGCCCCCGGAGGACCTTATACAGAAATGTACAATGAACGATGCTCAGGAGCGCTGCTGAAACAGACTTTGGTTAGTAGTATTACTTTAAGCCCCAGACACACCCCTCTTAGGTATTCAATGGTCGTGCTGAAGTTTGATTAAATGATTGATCAGAGGTTTGCATTGTGGGTGTTTACTCTTTCTGTTTTCTCAAACCACTTCTTGGCTGGTTTCCTGTTCGTTTTCAGATGCCATTTGCAGCGCAGACAGATTTCATATGCCTACTGCAGATTGCCTTCAGAGTTCTAGTTTAAAGACATTATGTAAGCTCCTCTCTATTTACATAAGAGCTTTAACTCAAACCTCTCAGAAAACCCATTCATTACCAACGAAAACCCATCCAGGGCAGCAGCACAGCCGACCTGTGTCTTCATGATACTCAGGACAGCAGTCGTTCATCCTTCTTGAAGAAAGAAAAAAGTAGACGTAACAAAGAATTGGAGTATTTTGCATTTTTATTCAGCCTGGTTTCCTATCATCTGAGCATTATTCTTCAGCTTACTTCAGGCAGGGGTAGGGTTTAGAGGCCACACTTTTTCTCTATGTAGCCAGCCAGCATTTATTTAGGCCGCAGAGCTGGCCTTTCCTGCCTCAAGTTTAATCGGAAATGTGAGAACAAATGTCTTTTAGTTAGCAGTATCAATTAAATACAAATTTTGCTAAATTCTACATTCCTGAAAGGATTCACGAATACGTGATCACATAAACAGAAGTCAAGCAGTAGTAAAATAAATAGAATAAAAACTTATTTCTTTTTTTTATGGCTGTTACATTCATCACATTTTCCTGTCCCACAGATAACCACTGCTAAGAGTCCCCCCACCCTTACTTTCCCTCCTTCCTTTCTACCTACTGAACTTTTGGGGATATTTTTTGTCATTATAAATTGCTTTAATTCCTTTTAAGAAGATGGGCCTGGTGAGGTAGGAAACTTAGTAATAAAGAGTTCAAAACTGGGACTCTATAAGGAAGAACAAAATTTTGTCCCAAATCACATGGGACACTAACTTTCAGGAATTGCTCTGTTACTACATTAGTTGGAAAAAAAACCCCATCTAGACACTGGTACTTTCTTGTCAATAAAAAAAATATCAGCAAGAGTCCTAGGAACTTCTTGCCTAAATATTAGAGACAAGAAATATTTCAAGACAGCTCTTAGAGTCTGAGATTCTTCCTGGTGACCATCTTCTTTTAAAGGAATCTCCCCTCTTCCTGCATCCCTAGGACAGACGCTATTCTATAGCCATGTCTCCAACATGGAACTTATCTTGTTAGGGGAAGGAACTAGATTTCCAAACATCCTCTCATAAACTACCCCTCTTAAGATGTAATTAAGTGGTGTTATGGGTAACAATGAAGTACAAATTTTGTTAAATTCTAAATTACTAGAAGAATTCCTGAATATATGATCATTGTAAATGAAAGCCAAGTAATAATAAAATATATAGAATAAAAATCGTGAATCAGACAGGTTGTGTCTCAGGGGGCCTATCACGCCCCATCCTTCTCCTCACTATCCCCTCTTGCTCTGGCCACACAGATTCAGGTCTGCCCTTTTTTCACATTTTAACTCATTTAGACATTTCTCTGAGGGACCCCTTACGTCCGTGTCATCCTCATTAATCTGATAGAGTAACCAATACCGAGGTATTAAAAGCTGATAAATGCTAAGAGACATCTGCATGTCTTTCCAAAGCAGTTTAGAGGGTCCATGTTATAGGTCCAAAACAATGAATCTCAGTAGTGGAATTGGAATTTAAGACTACGGTTGGCAGATGGGGAATATATTTTAGGCAGGAGCAATTTGCAGCATTCCTAAAATAAAGCCACGTGTCCATGAGTCATGTTATTTGTTCTCCCTTTAAAGACCAGCTCTACCTCTGTGATCTACCCAGACATGAAATTTCTACTGGAAAACAGTACCAGTGTAGAATTCTCTACTAGTAATTGAGACTGTTGGAACTGTTTTAATGGGATTGGTGGTGTACTGAAGGATTTGCTTCTTCTAGTAACAGTTTCCATGTTACTCTCCGGGGATAAAGGCCCATGATTGGCCAGTGAATGTATTTGAACCTGCAGTGACTGTTTCAGGAAGTGCATATAACCTGAGCAGGCCAACCAGGGCAAGTGAGCATTAGCCTCCTAATTTTAACCAGAATGACGAGGAAGGAGAAAAATAAAGCTCTGATTACTTTATAAATGAAGGTATAAAGTTTTGTCTTCTGTTATGGAGAGAATATGCTTGAAAGAAACCAACACAAAGAAAAACAAATGACAGAGTAATACAAGATGATCTAATCTAGCCCCTGATTCATCTGTGTCTCAAGTCCACCCTTGGACTTTTTTATTATGTAAGTCAAGAAAATCGCTCTTTTTGTCCCTGAAGTTAGTTTGAGTTGCTATCACTTGAAATTGGATGAGCCATGACTTTTTCATCATTCTCATACTCTTAAGGACAAAGGGTTGAGTTAATCATACATCTCATTTCATGGCACATTATCATCATTGGTTCATGCAAAGCCCTTCTCATATCTGTCTTCCTTCCCTCTCTTTTTCCATCCCTCCCTGCCTTTGGCATTCTGAAATGGCAGTATCAGATCAACCATGTTGAGGTGAGGTCCACTCTGCTGAACAAGTGCATAGCCTCTGCCTCTACTGTCATGACCACTTTGTACGTTAATTCAGCAAGCACTTGAGTGGCGGGGGAAGAGGCTGCCCAGTCTCTATCAAATGTGACCTCATACTCACCTGATGACTAAGAGCCTCATTTGCAGTGGATGCCATGAGGTGGGCAGCTGTCTTCACATTGTGTCCATTCTGCAGGTCTATCCACAGACCTCTTCCCCAGTCTTTCTTACCATTAGGAGTCTTATCATCAATCCATACTATTAACAACTGACTCTAAGTCAGACCTATATCTCTGGTCATATCCAGTTCTTACAAAGGAGGCCAAGTAGACTGCTCTGCTTGCTTCCATTAAGAGGATTTCCTTCACAATTGTCTTTCAGGGAACGCTCTTGACTTGGGCTATAATGTTAGAGGTGTCTACATCTGGTAAGTGGGTCATGCCCACTTAGACTGATTTCTTTTTTATTAAATCAAAATCAACTGATTAGGTGCCTGAATTACATCAGCACAGTCCCTTTACCTTTCCCACATAGTATTATAATAAATATAATATAATATGATATGATGTAATATAATATAATATAATACAATACAATATATAATATAATATAATATAATATAATATAATATAATA